CCGCACGCTTCGATTGCAACCAGCTCTGGGCGATCTACGCGTTCAGGCAGCTCGAGCTTCAGTTCGACCAGGACTCCGATGCCAAGGACGACTAGATCCACAATCGGTCAGGGCTCGCCTGCCAAGAACGACTTGACCCACAACAAGCTACAGCACAACATGGCTTTACATGTCATGATACCTTTCAGCTCAGCACGGCACGGTACATCACCATCGGTACCTTTCGCATTGCCATTGCCCGTCGCCCAGCCAAGTGTCTTGAAAACGCGCCCATGCCTCACGTCTGTCTGTTCTTTTCCGGGTTCGTGGGTCAATCATGTCCCCGATTAGACGCTGCGGCTCACACTGCCAAAGCCCGCGCAACGCAGCAGGGAGGACTGTTCCGCACTGTAGCAACCCCAACACACGAGGAACCTTTTTTTGTGCCCGGACAAAACACCTGGGCGACACAACCCGAAGGGAGGTGCCCAAGGTGCCTGCAGGAACTCACATGCAGTCGGACCTCGCAACATGAACGGCGGCACAGACCCGCCCCAGGCGTCACATCTGCGCCGCCGTTGCGAGGTGCCTCGAGATGCCACCCCGAGACACGGCCACCGGTAGCACCCGAGGAACCCCGCGACCACCTCAACAGCGGCACCGAAGCCCCGCCGAGGGCGTGGCCCCGAGGCTCCCCCATCAGCGCACACCCTTCCCGAGAACGGAGGAGGGGCACCGATGCAGCAGCAGGGAGGAGGGGGAGGGAGAGCGCCAGTATTGTGCCATGATGGGTTCGATGCCTGACGATACTCAACGCCCAGCTGCTGGTTTCAGCCACCTGTGAGGCCGAGCAGCGACGGTAGGCGCAGGAGGAAGCAGAGAGCATTCGCTGGGCAGCGTGATGCAGGATGATGAGGAGGAGGAGGCGGAGGAAGAGGAGGAGGAGGAGGAGGAGGCGAGGAGGAGGAGGAGGAGGAGGAGGAGGACGAGGAGGGGGAGGAGTAGGAGGCGCGAATGGATGGTCGGCGTCCCACTGGCCTCGCCAGAGGAAGGCTTGGTTCTCCGCACAATCTTCTTCTTGGCGGGCGCGCCCTTGGCGGCCTTCTCGCGGGGGGGGAGGGCTGAGCAGCCGCGGTGTGCCATCCTCCTCCTCCTCCTCCTCCTCCTCCTCCTCCTCATCATCATCATCATCATCATCAGCAGCAGCAGCATCAGCATCAGCATCAGCAACAGCATCATCATCAGCATCATCAGTCATCATAATCACCACCACCACCACTACCACCACCATCATCATCATCATCATCAATCATCATCATCATCATCATCATCATCATCATCATCATCACCATCACCATCACCATCACCATCATCCATCATCGTCATCATACTCATCATCCTCATCCTCATCCTCATCCTCATCATCATCATCATCATCATCATCATCATCGTCATCATCAGCATCATCAGTCGTCATCATCATCATCATCATCAGCATCATCAGCATCATCATCATCATCATCATCAGCATCAGCATCAGCATCAGCATCATCATCATCATCATCATCATCATCATCATCGTCATTATCAACATCATCAGTCATCATCATGATCAGCAGCAGCATCATCACCACCATCAGCATCACCATCATCATGTTCATCATCATCATCATCATCATCATCATCATCATCATCAGCATCAGCAGCATCATCATCATCATCAGCATCAGCAGAATCATCATCAGCATCAACATCATGATCATTATTATCATCATCATCATCATCATCATCAGCATCATCATCAGCATCAGCATCAGCATCAGCATCATCATCAGCATCATCAGTCATCAGAATCATCACCACTACCACCACCACCACCACCATCATCATCATCCTCATCATCACCATCACCATCATCACCATCATCCATCATCATCATCATCATCATCATCATCGTCGTCGTCATCATCCTCATCATCATCGTCAGCATCATCAGCATCATCAGTCATCAGTCATCAGTCATCAGTCATCATCATCATCATCATCATCATCATCATCATCATCATCATCATCATCATTATCAGCATCACCAGTCATCATCATGATCAGCAGCAGCAGCATCATCACCACCATCATCATCACCATCATCATGTTCATCATCATCAGCATCAACATCATCATCATTATCATCATCAGTATCATCATCAGCATCAGCATAATCATCATCAGCATCAACATCATCAACATCATCATCATCATCAGCATCATCATCATCATCATCATCATCATCATCATCATCATCATCATCATCATCATCATCATCGTCCTCATCCTCCTCCCCTCCCTCCTCCTCCTCCCTCTCCGCCTCCTCCTCCTCCTCCTCCTCCTCCTCCTCCTCCTCCTCCTCCTCCCCGGGGAGGCAGGGAGAGAGGAAGGGAGGAGGGAGGGAGGGAGGGAGGAAGGAAGGCAGGGCGGGAGGCAGGGACGGCAGGGAAGGAGCAGGAGGAGGGAGCAGGGAAGAGGGAGGAGGGAGCAGGGAAGCAGGAGGAGAGAGCAGGAGGAGGGAGGAGGGAGGGAGAGCAGGAGGAGAGAGCAGGAGGAGAGAGCAGGAGGAGAGAGCAGGAGGGAAGAGGGAGGATGGAGGAGGGAGCAGGAAGCAGGACGAGTTAGCAGGAGGAGCAGCAGCAGCAGCAGGGCCTCCGCGAGCGCCGCCTTGGCGGCCTCCAGCGCGGGCCAAGCCGCTGGGCGCTCCGCCACCCGGAGGCCAGCAGCCGCGCCCGCCGCGCCCGCCTCCGCAGAGCGCGCCTTCGGCGAGAACGCCACGGGGGCCGCGCTCTCCTCGATGGGGGGGGGACGACGGGGCAGCGAGGGGCAACGATGGGGGTGGGGGCAGGCATGGGGGGGAGAGCATCGACCTGGAGCCGGCGATGCACCGCCGAGAGATCGGCGAGAGGCCCCCGAGATGGTGGCTCCGCACGCTCCTGGGCGGGGTGGGGGGCGATCGGACCCCCTGTCGGCGATCCATGGGCGATTGGGGGTCGATGCACCCCCCCCTGTGCAGAGCCCCCCTTCTCGTTGCCCCTGAAGGGCAGAGGATCAGCTCACGCAGCTGGTTTTTCTGGGAGGGCCACCTGGCGCCAGGAGGCGCCCACGCAGCGAGTGGTGGGCCCGGAGGCGGGGCGGGAACTGCCTGCATGCAAAAAAATCGTACCCCCCCCTTTCCCTGTCCTACCCTTTCGTCCGGCCCGATCTCCGCGAGGCGGGCCACGTCGACGACGAAGTCCTTCGCGAGAGGGGCGATGCTGCACGCAGGAGCGGCCCCAGGCAAGAGGGGCACTCGGTGCGCGGCCGCAGGGGGGGCGTGGGCTGGCCGGAGCCGAGCGCGCAGGCCGGGTGCTGGGGGGACCCCGTGAGCCCGCACCAAACGTACTCCTCCTCCTCCTCCTCCTCCTCCTCCTCCTCCTCCTCGCTCTCCTGCCTCCTCCTCCTCCTCGTCTCTCGTCCCTCGTCCTCGTCCTCCTCCTCCTCCTCCTCCTCCTCCTCCTCCTCCTCCTCCTCCTCCTCCTCCTCCTCCTCCACTCCTTCTCCTTATAAATAATTCCTCCCTGTCGCACCCCGAGGCCAGTTTTTAGAGCGGGCCGAGCGTTTCTCCTGAGACCTCCTCAGCCTTTTATGACTCTAACGATTAAAAAATCACAACAGCTTCACGGATGGAAGGCGGGTGGCTTTCAAAATGTGGCTCTCGCCTGAGCGCCGCGCACATTCGTCCTAAATATTCGACGAGCTTCACGGATTAAGGGCGGGTGGTTTTCAAAATGTGGCTCTCGCCTGAGCGCGGCGCACATTGTTTGTAAAAACTGCAAGGGCTTCACGGACTAAGGGTGGCTCCTTTTCAAAATGTGGCTCTCGCCTGAGCGCGGCGCACATTATTTGTAAAGACTTGCAAGAGCTTCACGGATTGAGAGCGGGTCGTTTTCAAAATGTGGCTCTCGCCTTAGCACCGCGCACAGTGTTTGTAAAAAATCAAGAGCTTCACGGATTGAGGGCGGGTCGTGATCAAAATGTGGCTCTCGCCTTAGCGCCGCGCACATTACTTGTAAAAGATTGCAAAAGTTTCCTGGATTGAGGGCAGGTCGTTTCCAAGATGTGGTTTTCGCCTAAGCGCCGCGCACATTCTTTGAAAAAAACTCTCAAGAGTTTCACGGATTCCCATAATCAACGTACCAAGAAGGGTGTGTGGGAAAGATTCAAGATTATGAAATTATGCGGGTGCAACAATTACGTTGGTTCTGTGTTGAACACAAATCATGGCGTTATGGCACGATTCCAGATCGCCAAAACGCAGCAGTCAGGTTGATACGTAGCGTTGACATCCCAAGAACCATGTTATGGCATGCATCAGGAGGTTCAAACGGTTGCCTTCCAACGAGGCGGTTCCCTCAATGGAAATGAGCCGTTGTATAGGGCATATGAAGAGGTAGCTTGAAGGGAGGGTTAATTCCAACATCGTTGATGACTCTTGGGCTTACACTGGTCCTCCTCCTCCTCCTCCTCCTCCTCCTCCTCCTCATCCTCCTCCTCCTCCTCCTCCATTCCTTCTCCTAATAGAAAACTCCTCCCTGTCGCACCCCGAGGCCAATTGTTAGGGCGGGCCGAGCGTTTCACCTGAGACTTCCTCACCATGTATGGCTCTGAAGCTTAAAAATGATAACAATTTCGCAGATGTAGGGCGGGTAGTTTTCAAAATGTGGCTCTCGCCTTAGCACCGCGCACATTCGTTGTAAAAATGTGCAAGAGTTTCACGGATTGAGGGCGGGTGATTTTCAAAATGTGGCTCTCGCCTGAGCGCGGCGCATATTCTTTTAAAAAATGCAAGAG